CGACTCGAGCATCGACCAGCTCGCCGATCAGCGCAGCCCCATCCCAGTATCTGCAGTCGCTGGCGCCCCTGCAGCCTCAGGTTCCCTTCAGGATCTGCTCTCAGGGCACGTCCTGGGGTCCATCAGCATGGAGATCTGCGACACCGCCTCCATCAACGACACCGCCTCCATCGGCGACTTCATGCTGCTGCTGAGGCCCCGGGTGAGGAGGCCCGGGTCGCTCCTGGTGAGGCCGCGCACTGGTTCCATGACATGCCAGGCCCAGGTGTTCACGTTCCCTCTCCTCCTCCGTCTCCCCTTCCTTTTCTCCATTTCATTCTGTGCACGGGCAGCGTTTTTTTGGGCTTAGCGCACGGCCGCGGTTGGCCGACCGCTCGGGCCGCTTTTGCCGCCTGGGTCTCGCCCTTTCGCCGCGTGGGCTCGGCCTTCGCTGCTGCGAGGCACTGCCGTGCCTCATCCATTTAGTGTTGTGCTGTACTGTATTGGTGAGTGCTTGCACCCATTCCAGCATGCGCCGCCCAGCCGGCAGTAATATTGCCCCTTCTTGCCCCGTTCATCCTTCCTTCTTGCTTCCGCCTCCCGCGCGATGGGAATATGGGCAGTTTTCCTATCATCCGCGTCGCCGTAGGGGCGTTGATTTCTTTTATTGTACTGTGCATTCTCCATTAGCTTGTCGTTGTGTGCTGTCTATTTAATGGTCGGTTGGACCTCGTTGGGATGCACACACACACAGCGTCGTTGTCTGTCTCCCTCGCCTCGCTTTTGCTGTCTTCCTCCTCCTCGTCCTTCTCCCCTTCCTCCCTGAATGTGGTGACGTTTACCCGGCCGGCCAATTTGCAGCCCTGCCGCTATCGAGTCATATGTGAGCGCGGTTATAGCCCCCTTGAGGGGAAGCGGATTTGGCGTTCAGTCGAACTGGTCTTGCCCATGGACGGGCATCGTGTGTTTGTGTTCGCTGGGAAAAAATCGGCACGGCACGCCCCTCCGCCCCTTCGCCCCGACCCCTTTTATCTCGGCACGGCACGCCCCCTACGCCCCCCCCCCACACACACACACACACCCCACCCCCCCGCCCCGCCCACCAGACAGTGCGCCCCTCCGCCCCGGCCCTTTTTATTTCGGCACGGCACACCCCTCCGCCCCAACCCCTTTTATCTCGGCACGGCACACCCGCCCCCCCACCCCACCCGCCAGCCAGCGCGCCCCTCCGCCCCCACCCCTTCAGCCAATGCGCCCCTCCGCCCCGACCCTTTTATTTCGGCGCGGCACAACCCTCCGCCCCGACCCCTTTCTTTCGGCACGGCACACCCCCTCCGCCTCCACCCACCCACCAGCCAGCGCGCGCCCCTCCGCCCCGACCCCTGTGTTTCGGCACGGCGCACCCCTCCGCCCCGACCTTTTTATTTCGGCACGGCGCGCCCCCTCCGCCCCCCTCCGCCCACCCACCAGCCAGTGTGCCCTCCCCCCGACCCCTTAGCCAGTGCGCCCCTCCGCCCCGACCCTTTTATTTCGGCACGGCACACCCCTCCGCCCCGACCCCTTTATTTCGGCACGGCACACCCCCTCCGCCTCCCCCCAGCCACCAGCCAGCGCGCCCTTCCGCCCCGACCCTTTTATTGCGGCACGGCACACCCCTCCGCCCCGACCCCTTTATTTCGGCACGGCACACCCCCTACGACCCCCCAACCTCCCCACCAACCAGCCAGTGGTCCCCGCCCCGGGCCCCTTTATTCCGGCACGGCGCGCCCCTCCGCCCCGACTTCTTTATTTCGGCACGGCGCACCCCCTCCGCCTCCCCCCGCCCACCAGCCAGCGCGCCCCTCCGCCCCGACCTCTTTATTCCGGCACGGCGCACCCCTCCGCCCCGACCCCTTTTTTCTCTGGCACAGAGTGTCTAGAGCTCCGACCACTTCATTTCGGCACGGCACTCCCTCCATCACCCTCACATTCCACCAGCCAGCGCACCCATCCGCCTCGACCCCCTTTATTTCGGCACGGCATACCCCTCCGCCCCGACCCCTTTATCTCGGCACGGCACACCCCCTCCACACACCCTCTGCATCCCCCCCACCCAGCAGCCAGCGCGCCCCTTCCGCCCCGACCCCTGTGTTTCGGCACGGCACACCCGTCGGCCCCGACCCTTGTAGTTCGGCACGGCACCCCTCCTTTCGCATCCCCCCCGCCCACCAGCCAGCGCGCCCCTCCGCCCGACTCCTTTTATTTCCCCCCCACACACCCACTCACAAGCCAGCGCGCCCTCTGCCCCGACCCGTTGATTTTGGCACTGCGCACCCCTCCGACCCGACCCCTTTATTTCGGCACGGCGCCTCGACCCCTTTAGCTCGGCACGGCGCACCCACCCTTCGCATCCCCCCCACCCGGCAGCCAGCGCGCCCCTCCGCCCCGACCCCTTTATGTCGGCAAGGTACACCCTTCCGCCCCGACCCCTTTATTTCGGCACGGCACACCGCCTCCCCATCCCCCTACCCACCAGCCAGCGCGCCCCTCCGCCCCGACCCCTTTATTCCGGCACGGCACACCCCTCCGCCCCGACAATTTATTTCGGCACGGCGCACCACCTCCGCACCCCCCCACCCGCCAGCCAGCGCGCCCCAATGCCCCGACCCCTTTATTTCGGCACGGCACACTCCTCCGCCCCGACCCCTTTATTCAGAGCGTGAATTACCTCCCCCGCTTTCGCTTCCAGGCAACACCAAACCATGCCACGCGCCTCCTCGTCAAGCGGCCTAACCAGTACAGGCCGCAATTTGGCATTGTTTGGTATCTCTTGGAAGCGAGGGTGGTCAAAAGCAAGGTCGGTTGGGACATCCCCGCATCACCGCCTCCCACCCCCCCCCACCCACATACGCGCGCCCCTCCGCACCTCCCTTTATTTCGTGCACGCCGCCCCCCTCCCCCCCCGCATCCCCCCACCCACAAGACAGCGCGCCCCCTTCGCCCCGACCCCTTTAGTTCGGCACGGCACCACCACCCCGCGCGCCCCCTCCGCCCCGAGCCCTTTATTTCGGCAGGGCACACCCCTCCGCCCCGACGCCTTCATTTCGGCACGGCACACCCCATCCGCATCCCCCCCCCCCGGCCGCCGGCCAGCGCGCCCCTCGCTCGCCCCTTTATTTGCGGCACGGCACGTGATGCCGAACCCTCCCGCCGCCGACCCCTTTCGGCCACGGCGCGCCCCCTCCGCATCCCCCCACCCACCAGCCAGCGCGCCCCCCCGCGCCGACCCCTTTCTTTCGGCACCCCCCCCCTCCCACATCCCCCCACTCACCAGCCAGCGCACCGCCTCCGCCCCGACCCTTTTTGGGCTCGGGGCCTCCAGAATCCGCCATGGCACTTCGCTCCCACTTCGCGACGGGGAGCGCGCCCCCCGGCAGCGGGGAGGAGGAGGGAGATTGGGGACGGGGCCGCCTCGGGCAGTGCCCAAGGGGCCCTCCCGCAAATCGACGATCGGGGCGGAGGGCCGAGGCTCAGAATGCCCAGGGCTCGAAGAACGGACAACACACACCCATACCCATAGGGGGGGTCGGCGGGAGGCGGCGGGAGGAGGACTTGCTATGGGTATGGGTGCGGGCTGTCGGACCGCGGGGGAGGCTCCCGTTCGAGCGGGGACCCCCGTCCGACAACACGCACCCATGGCCCCCCTCCGTCCTTCCCATGGGCAGGGGTGCGTGTTGTTCTTTCGTCAGGGCTCGCTAGGGACCAGTGTCCCCCCCCCCCTCAAAGCTCTCCCGAGAACCTCCCCGCAAAGCCTCCCGGCGCCCTTCCCAGAGGGCCTTCGGAGGGCCTCGGGAGGGCTTCGGCTGCTCTGTAGAGCAGTTCCTGGCGAGCCTTGGACTGTCTGAGCCGAGGATCCAGGAGGGTGTGGGAGGTCTTTGGGCGTCTGCGGGGGTCCTGCGGGGGTCCCGCGGGGACTCGGGGGGGGGCCTCAGGGAGGCCAGTTCCCCGGAAGAGGTGCCGACCCCTTGCATAGTGGCGATCCCCCGGGCATTGCCTGGCCGTCCGCGGAGAAGCCCACGTCGGCGCTTTTGGCTGCACTCCTCCAGGCCGCCGGCGTCGCCACGTTCTCTCAGCATGGAGCCCCGGAGGCTTTTCGGTCGAGCATCTGATTGAGAAACATCCTCCCGACAAGCTGGGCCGGCGTTTCTTCAGCAGCGTGCCGGGAAGTTGGCCCAGTTTCTTGAGCAAGTTCGCGCGTCCAGCGCTCACAACTGAATTTTGTCCAGGTTGGTTTTGAGAACCTTCTCTGAAGCTGGCCCAGATGTCTTGACTGATAGTTTTCTTGATCACATGTTCGGTTTTAGTCCTCTTCCCCGGAGGCCGGCTTTTCATCACGAGTCGTTCTTAGGACGGCCCCGAGGCCCGGCGAAGGCCAATGGAGGCCGAAACAGAGCAGCGACCGCCCGCGTCACGATGTTTTCCCTCTCCTCTTCTCTCCTCTCCTCTCCTCTCCTCTCCTCTCTCCTCTCCTCCTCCTCCTCCTCCTCCTCCTCCTCCTCCCTCCTCCTCCACTCTCCTCCTCCTCCTCCTCCTCTCTCCTCCTCCTCCTCCTCCTCCTCCTCCCTCCTCCTCCTCCTCCTCCCTCCCCTCGCCGCGCCGCCGACGCTCGTTTTCTCGCAGCGTCGGCGACGCCTGGCCCCCCAGCTGCCCACAGGCGGAGGCCGAGGTGGAATGGAGGCGAATAGCCCAGGGGGGGAGGGGGGCAACACATGTAGCCAGGGGCGCCACCGACGTCGCCTCCTCCTCCTCCTCCTCCTCCTCCTCCTCCTCCCTCCTCCTCCTCCTCCCCTCCTCCTCCTCCTCCTTCCCTCACTCCTCCTCCTCCTCTCCCTCCTCCTCCCCTCTCCCTCTCTCCTCCTCCTCCTCCTCCTCCTCCTCCTCCTCCTCCTCCTCCTCCTCCTCCCCCTCCTCCTCCTCCTCCTCCTCCTCCTCCTCCGCCGATGTTTTTTTCCTCGCAGCGTCTGCGACGCCTGGCCCCCCAGCGGCCCGCAGGAGGAGGCCGAGATCCTGGAGTCGCTCCAGTCGGCCGTGGCGGCCCTCGGGGACGAGGCTTAAGTCGGGCCTGTCCCTCCACTAGGGGGAATGCTCAAAAAGAGTCCAACGATAATCTGGGGACGATTTCTTGATCATGTGTGAGGATGTGTGTAATCAGAGGCCAGCAACATATGTACACGTACGCGGTGAGCTTCCCCTGGAGGGCGTTTGAACGAGGACGTTCGTGCACTCAAGATCGCAGAGGGCGTACATGTACATATGTCGTTGCTCGCTCATGTAACCTGCACGTCCACTTCGGCCCCGCCTGATCCCCGGGCTCCGCCCGCTCCTGGCCGCGTGAGGCCCCGCCTTCTTCCGCCCTTTCTCTGCTAATCAAAGCTGTGCGCGTCCCGCTTAGCTTTCAGCGGAAGCGGTTCGCTCTCGCCCTGCAAATCAAAAAACAAAGAGAAAAAAAACAAATGAGGATGTGTTGTTTTACTTTGCTGGGTATGTTTGCTTTGTCGTCAACGTTCCGCCCGTGGGGGGGACATGCCCGACCTAAGACGAGGCGTCGGTCGACCACCCGCTGGTCGAGGCATGCGACAAGATCATGCTGGCGTACAGGGACAAGGCGGCGCTGCCGAAGCTCCTCCTCTGTCCCATGGATCCGCCTCCGCCTTCCTCCTCCTCCTCCTCCTCCTCCTCCTCCTCCTCCTCCTTCCTCCTTCCTCCTTCCTCCTTCCTCCTTCCTCCTTCCTCCTTCATCCTCCTCCTCCTCCTCCTTCCTCCTCCTCCTCCTGCTCCTCCTGCCTCCTCCTCCTCCTTCCTCCTCCTCCTCCTCCTCCTCCTTCCTGGTCCTCCTCCTCCTCCCCTCCTCCTCCTGCTCCTCCTCCTCCTCCTCTCCTTCCCCTCCTCCTCCTCCTCCTCCTCCTCCTCCCCCCGGCGCCGCCGAAGCCCCTCCTCTGCCCGTGCAGGGACACGGCGGCGCTGCCGAAGCCTGCTCGCCCGGAGGTCCGAGGACCCGCTGTCTGCAAGCCGGCGGCGCGTCCTGGACTGCGGCCTCGGGGGGCCCGTGGTCGAGCCCGGGGGCGCCACGACAAAATCCTCCTCCTCCTCCCTTTTCCCTGCCTCCTCCTCCTCTCCCTCCTCCTCCTCCTCCCTCACTCCTCTTCCTTCCTCCTCCTCCTCCTCCTCCTACCCTTATCCCCTTCTCCTCCTCGCTCCTCCTCTCCTACTCCTTTCCTCCTGGCCTCCTCCCCCCCACCCCCCCTCCTCCTCTACCCTGCTCCCCCGCCTCTCCTCTATTCCTACCTAGCTGAGCCTGCCTTCCATCCTGCCTTAATCCTCCTCTCTTCCTACCCTGCCTCACCGTACCTCCCTGCCCTCCTCCCCCTCCTCCCTCCTGCTCCTGCCCCTCCTCCTACCTCCCTGCCTCCTCTTCGCCTCCTATGAAAGACCTCCTCGCTCCTCCTGCTCCTTCCTTCGGTCGGCCCGGGGGCCCATCGACAAGTGCATCGTGGACGAACAAACAGGCTCACCACAGTCCCTCCTCCTCCTCCTCCTCCTCCTCCTCCTCCTCCCTCCCTCCTCCGCCTCCTCCTTCCTCCTCCTCCTCCTCCTCCCTCCCGCTCCTCCTCCTCCTCCTCCTCCTCCTCCTCCTCCTCCTCCTCCTCCTCCTCCTCCCGCTCCTCCTCCTCCTCCTCTCCTCCTCCTCCTCCTCCTCCTCCTCCACCCGCTCCTCCTCCTCCTCCTCCTCCACCTTCTCCTCCTCCTCCTCCTCCTCCTCCTCCTCCTCCTCCTCCTCCTGGCGGAAGGGGGCGGGACGAAAAAAAAACTTGGGAACCCCCAAACCGGGTGGTGAGATACCAGGTGGCGACCTGGAATCCCCAAAAAGGGCACCGCTGGGTCTGGGGGCGCGGGGTCACCACCGGGTTCTGTGACTCCTGGACCCACCAGTGTCCGGGACATCCTCGGAAAACCGCACGAGTCCCCAAACCGGGTGGTGACACCAAATCGCCCGAGACTCACCGCCAGGTGTTGTCACCACCACGTTTGGGGACTACCAAAAAACACCCCAGGGCGGAAGGGGGCGGGACTTGTAGCAATCCTAGCAATCCTGCCATTGCATGGGCACTCTGACAGTCCTGTCATTGAATGAGAAGTGTGTTTAAAAAATGTGTAACACGTGTTCCAAACATGTTTCAACCATGTTTTTTTACATATTCGAAACATGCTGGACACATGTTTTAGACACCTGGGAAGTATTTGGCAGCATGCTTCCTCTCCATATAATCGACGTCTCCTCCTCCTCCTCCTCCTCCGCCTCCGCCTCCTCCTCCTCCTCCTCCTCCTCCTCCTCCTCCTCCCCCTCCTCCTCCTTCTCCTCCTCCTCCTGGCGGATGTCTGGATCGATGTGTTCACCCTGGGCCTTGGCGCCCGGCTTCGGCCCCGAGGACCAGAGAGGATCGGCGCAGCTCGAAGCATGTCGGAGAGACGTGCGGTCGAGGGCTCCGGCCATGGTCCCAGACATCGGGCGTCTCGAAAAAATCGAGACGGAGGTTTTTCATAGTTTTTGGCCTCGCGGGGCCCTCGCCGGGCCTCGGGACCGTCAAAAAACGACTCGGGATGAAAAACCGGTCCCAGGGAAGTGGTCGGGAGGTCTGGGGCCCGCGTCTCGAAAAAATCGAGACGTTGGATGTCTGGAGTTTTCGCGATGTCGCATGGTTTCCGCAACGTCGCATCTCGGGGCCTTTCTCTTCGGAGATGAGAGAACCGCGTAGACACACAGCCAACCTGCACAGCAAGGATGGGCAACCTTCCCAAGGGTACCCTTGCATCCTTGCCCCTTCGGCCCATCCTCAGCGACTCTCGCTTTCCAGCCTCGTTCGAAAAACGCTGACGTGGTCCCCCGAGGCCCTTGCATCCTTACCGCGCATCCTTCTTGTACGGATTGACTGTGCAGTCGGGGCCCTGAAGAAGGAACCCTTTTCGTTGGGGGAGGGGCTCCGCGTTCCTTCAGTGTTTCGCAGCTCGCCTCAGGTTTTCCTCATGTCTTCGATCGGAAATCGAAGTCTAATTATTATTAACTTATGGAAAAAAGGGGCCTCGTTCCTCATTTAGGGTTCCTTAGGTCAACGCCCCGACTGTAAGCCGTCGGAGCTCCGCGCGAGCCTCTCGGATCGGCGCTGGACCCGCTCCTCGTCGCGCGCGAGCGCGCCAGCGGCAGCGCCGGAGGCGCCGCCTGCGAGCTCCAGCGCCGGCCCAAGAAGTCCGCGTGGGCCTCGGAGTAGTACTGCTCCTAAAGCGACGCGAAGGTCGGGACAAAATCGGATCGGGATAACTCGAAATCTCTGAGAATCGGCGGGTTTGGAGGATGTATTGGGCGCCGCGGCCGCTCCAGAGCGTTCCGGAACGCTCTGAGAGCGCTCCGGAACGCTCTGGAGCGATTTATCCCGATCCTAGCCCTGTTTTACTCCGGTACTTCGCCACCGGGTTCCTGTGCAAGGCGTGCCTTTGCATGCACATCGCCCCTCGGCACCGCCCGATTCCGGGGCTTTGCCCTCTCTTGGCCTTGACGTGAGGCCCCTCCTTCTGCCTTCCCCCCTCTGTCAATTAAAGCTTCGACCGGAAGAGGTGTGCTCTCGACCCGCGGATCAAAAAAAACTTCGTTCCTCTATTTCTGATTCTTCATCCTCCTTGTGTGCCGCCTTGACTCTTCGCGCGCGCCAGTCCCAGGGCTTGATCACCGCAGACATGCTGTTCATTCCTAGTTATTCGACGTTTCTCTGATCTTTGGGTGGGCCAAGATCCTTTCGTTTCTAATTGTTCTGTCCTGGGTCTTTTCCTGGCCACTGGGGGGCCAGGAAAGATTAGAAGCGAGCACATCTAGAAACGAGCACGATCAGAGATGAACGACGTGTACAGAATTGATTCACTTCAGAATCCAATACTTATTCGTCGAGTCCGTGAGACGTGCGCAGAGGGTTCGTAGATCTACGAACATCCTCCGCAGGACTCGATGAGAGCATCAACTTTGGTGTACATGAACTTTGCAGTCGATCCCCTGTCCGAGGTGGGGGCTTTTGTGAAGGAATGTGCCCAGGAAGACTTCAGACCCTGGAGGGCTCCTCCTCTGACGAGGGCGGCGGTGATGCCCCTGGCTGGTCCACGACGGGAGCTCCATTGGCCTTGGAGCCCCAGACTGCGCACTGTCTGGGCGGATCCTCCTCCTCCTCCTCCTCCTCCTCCTCCTCCTCCTCCTCCTCCTCCTCCTCCCGCTCCTCCTCATCCTCCTCTTCCTCCTCCTCCTACTCCTCCTCCTCCTCCTCCTCGTCCTCGTCCTCCTCCTCCTCCTCCTCCTCCTCCTCCTCCTCCTCCCTCCTCCCAGCGTCCTCCTTCCTTCTCCGATGCTTTGCGCCGGAGAGCAGGCGGCGCTGCTGAAGCGCAACTGGACAGACGAGATGTTCCAGGACGGCGAGGAGGCGCGAGGACGAAGCATCGGCAGGAGGAGGAGGAGGGGGAGGGAGGAGGAGGAGGAGGTGGTCGGAGGAGGAGGAGGAGGAGGAGGAGGAGGAGGAGGAGGAGGAGGAGGAGGGGGAGGTGGAGGAGACGCAGGAGGTGGAGTGTACGCGCGGACTTGAGTCGGCTCCGGACGCCCCCCCCCCCCCCCCCCCCTTGACGGAGCCTCCAGCGCCGCCCCTGGCGCGCTCCGCGCGCCAGGGTGGGGGGGGGACACCGCGGATCCAGGGAGTCCCTGCGGAGCTCCGAGAGCCTACGTTTCCAGGCAAGGCAAGGCGCTGAAGTACAGTCGGACCGAGGTGTGAGAGCGAGGTCGGTTCGGGGAGGGTGCCCTCGTGCTCCTCGTGGTTGTCGGAGGTTCTTGTGCACCCTGGGGAGGGCTACCCTCGGATGTCCCGGCTGCTTTGGCCGGCGGAGGGTCTCGTGTTCTTGGGGGACGCTCTTCTGGCCCAGGCACGATTTCAAGGGCCACGTTTGGCCCAGGAGAGGCCTTGGTTTTCGGGCCGCTCCTAGGATGCAGGCAGGGGGGAACTATTCGTGGCCGAGGCTCCCCTGTGATCAGAAAAGCCCCTTCTGTGCCTTGCGCAGCGGTCTTCCTGGTAGCACGATGGCTGTATGCCCCTTCTGTCTGCCCCTCTCAGATCAGGAGCGAAGGGAGGACGCACACGTACACATGAATCCACGCTGGTTTCGAGAGTACGCATTGCGCGAACGTTTGCATCACGCGGCTGGTCTCGCGGATTGGGGGGGCTGTGTTCGCGCACGTGGTTGGGCGCGTGCGTCCTGTCTGTGGGCTCCTCCTCCTCCTCCTCCTCCTCCTCCTCCTCCTCGTCCCTCCTCCTCCTCCTCCTCCTCCTCCTCCTCCTCCTCCTCCTCCTCCTCCTCCTCCTCCTCCTTAGCAGAGGTGAACGAGGGCCGCGTCGCCGAGATCGAGGCCGATCTGGCGCACATCCTCGGCTCGTCCGGTGGCAAGGGCCTGGAGGACGGCGGCAACCTGGGGGGCGCCCTGGACCTGGTCGGCGTGTACATATCGAAGGAGGAGAAGCGGCATCAGCGTACAGTGCCGTTTTTAATACATGCTCCGCGTGCGGACCATGTATTAAAGATAAAGGCTTGATTAATAAATGTAAGGATGGGTTCATGCATAAATTTATGCATAAATTAGTCATGTATCAAAAATCCCATGTTTTTATATAAAAAACAAAGGGACGTACCCAACTCTCTGGCAACAGGTGGCATTATCAACTGGCGCTTTCAAAATAGCTGAACATCCGCTGGACGTCCAAGAGGCCCACGAAAGCGACAACCATTGCATTCTTGGCAATCGCCGCGCTTGAGGGTCAAGCGCGGCGATTGCCGACAAATCCCATCGGCTTCAACTTTCGGGAATCCCTGGCAAATCCCGATAGTCGGTACTCTTCGCTAGAGTGACTGTCTTGGGCCGTCTTGGGGCCTCGTGGGCAGTCTTCGGGCCCTCTGGGAAGCCTCTCGGGCCGTCTTGGGGCAATATTGGGTGCCTCTTGAGCCGTCCTGTAGCTCCGGAAAGCCGAAAAGACGAGAAGGCCAAAATCCTTCAAACACCATTGTAAAATTCGTGGTTTTGGCCTCTCGGGGCCCTCCCATGAAGCTTTTTGGAGGCCTCTTGGAGCGTCTTGGAAGCCTCTTGGGCCGTCTGGGGCCCACCTTGAACGTCCTGGAGCGATCGTTCGGCGTCTCACGAGCCCACGAAAGTGCCGACAATTGCGCAGTTCGCAGCTCCCCCCGCAGGGAGCCGCGAGGTCCCGATGTGATCCGCGTGTAACCCCACTCCGCTGGGCCTCCCAGGAGCCCACGAAAGTGCCGACAGTTGCGCAGTTGACAGCTCCCCCCGCAGGGAGCCGCGAGGTCCCGACGCGATCCGCGTGTAACCCCACTCCGCTGAGCCTCCCAGGAGCCCACGAAAGTGCAGACAGTTGCGCAGTTCGCAGCTCCCCCCGCAGGGAGCCGCGAGGTCCCGACGCGATCCGCGTGTAACCCCCAAACCCTCCCGCGCGGGGCCTCCCAGGGAGCCCACGAAAGTCCGACAGTTGCGCATTGGCAGCTCCCCCCGCAGGGAGGCCGCGAGGCTCCCAAGCGCTTCCGCGTGTAACCCTCTGGGCGCTCCGCTCCCAGGGCCCACGAAGTGGCCGACATTTGGGCAGTTGGCAGCTCCCCCGCAGGGATGCCGCGAGGTCCCGACGGCGATCCGCGTGTACCCCACTCCGCTGGCCTCCCAGGAGCCCACGAAAGTGCAGACAGTTGCGCAGTTCGCAGCTCCCCCCGCAGGGAGCCGCGAGGTCCCGACGCGATCCGCGTGTAACCCCACTCCGCCGGGCCTCCCAGGAGCCCACGAAAGTGCCGACAGTTGCGCAGTTGGCAGCTCCCCCCGCAGAGAGCCGCGAGGTCCCGACGCGATCCGCGTGTAACCCCACTCCGCGGGGCCTCCCAGGAGCCCACGAAAGTGCCGACAATTGCGCAGCTCGCAGCTCCCCCCCGCAGGGAGCCGCGAGGTCCCGACGCGATCTGCGTGTGCCCCAACTCCGCTGGGCCTCCCAGGAGCCCACGAAAGCGCCGACGATTGCGCAGTTCGCAGCTCCCCCCGCAGGGAGCCGCGAGGTCCCGAGGTGATCTGCGTGTACCCCAACTCCGCTGGGCCTCCCAGGAGCCCACGAAAGTGGCGACAGTTGCGCAGATCGCAACCCCCCAGGCGCCGCGAGGTCCCGAGGTGATCTGCGTGTACCCCAACTCCGCTGGGCCTCCCAGGAGCCCACGAACATGGCGACAGTTGCGCAGATCGCAGTACCCCAGAAGGCGCCGCGAGGTCCCGAGGTGATCTGCGTGTACCCCAACTCCGCTGGGCCTCCCAGGAGCCCACGAAAGTGGCGACAGTTGCGCAGATCGCAACCCCCCAGGCGCCGCGAGGTCCCGAGGTGATCTGCGTGTACCCCAATCCGCTGGCGTCCGCCAGGATCCCACGAAAGTGGCGACAGCTGCGCAGATCGAAACCCCCCAGGCGCGCGAGGTCCCGAGGTGATCTGCGGTGTACCCCAACTCCGCTGGGCCTCCCAGGATCCCACGAAAGTGGCGACAGCTGCCGCAGATCTCAGCCCCCCAGAGGGCGCCGGCGTAGTTCCTCGAACGCGATCCGCGTGTATCCCAACCTCCGCTGGGCCTCCCAGGAGCCACGAAAGTGGGCGACAGTTGCGGCAGATCGCAACCCCCAGGCGCCGCGAGGTCCCGAGGTGATCCGCGTGTATCCCAACTCCGCTGGGCCTCCCAGGAGCCCACGAAAGTGCCGACAGTTGCGCAGGTCGCAGCCCCCCAGAGGGCGCCGCGAGGTCCCGAGGTGATCTGCGTGTACCCCAACTCCGCTGGGCCTCCCAGGAGCCCACGAAAGTGGCGACAGTTGCGCAGATCGCAGCCCCCCAGAGGGCGCCGCGAGGTCCCGAGGTGATCTGCGTGTACCCCAACTCCGCTGGGCCTCACAGGAGCCAACGAAAGTGGCGACAATTGTGCAGATCGCAACCCCCCAATGGGCGCCGCGAGGTCCCGAGGTGATCTGCGTGTATCCCAGCTCCGCTGTGCCTCCCAGGAGCCCACGAAAGTGGCGACAGCTGCGCAGATCGCAACCCCCCAGGCGCCGCGAGGTCCCGACGCGATCCGCGTGTATTCCCAACTCCACTGGGCCTCCCAGGAGCCCACGAAAGTGGCGACAGTTGCGCAGGTCGCCGCCCCCCGGAGGGCGCCGCGAGGTCCCGAGGTGATCCGCGTGTATCCCAACTCCGCTGGGCCTCCCAGGAGCCCACGGAAGTGGCGACAGTTGCGCGCATCGCAGCCCCCCAGAGGGCGCCGCGAGGTCCCGAGGTGATCCGCGTGTATCCCAACTCCGCTGGGCCCCCCAGGAGCCCACGAAAGTGGCGACAGTTGCACAGATCGCAGCCCCCCAGAGGGCGCCGCGAGGAGGAGGTAGGAGGCGGGAGGGAGGTGGGCGGGAGGACGGGGCGACCAGAGTGCTCTATTCAAAACGGGTACCCAACCAAGGGAGGGTTGGGAATTTGTGGTTTTGGCTTCTCGGGGCCCTCCCATGACGCCTTTTCGAGGCCTCTTGGAGCGTCTTGGAAGCCTCTTGGGCCGTCTGGGGCCCACCTTGAACGTCCTGGAGCGATCGTTCGGCGTCTCAGGAGCCCACGAAAGTGCCGACAATTGCGCAGTTCGCAGCTCCACCCGCAGGGAGCCGCGAGGTCCCGACGCGATCCGCTGTACCGCCACTCCGCAGGGCCCGCCCCAGAAAGCCCCCCCCACGAAGTCCGACGTTGCGCAGTTGGCAGCTCCCCCCGCAGTGAGCCGCGAGGTCCCGACGCGATCCGCGTGTAACCCCGCTCCGCTGGGCCTCCCAGGAGCCCACGAAAGTGCAGACAGTTGCGCAGTCCGCAGCTCCCCCCGCAGGGAGCCGCGAGGTCCCGACGCGATCCGCGTGTAACCCCACTCCGCTGGGCCTCCCAGGAGCCCACGAAAGTGCCGACAGTTGCGCAGTTGGCAGCTCCCCCCGCAGGGAGCCGCGAGGTCCCGACGCGATCCGCGTGTAACCCCACTCCGCAGGGCCTCCCAGAAGCCCACGAAAGTGCCGACAGTTGCGCAGTTGGCAGCTCCCCCCGCAGGGAGCCGCGAGGTCCCGACGCGATCCGCGTGAAACCCCACTCCGCTGGGCCCCCCAAGAGCCTGCGCAAGTGCCAACAGTTGCGCAGTTGGCAGCTCCCCCCGCAGGGGGCCGCGAGGTCCCGACGCGATCCGCGTGTAACCCCACCCCGCTGGACCTCCCAGGAGCCCACGCAAGTGCAGACATTTGCGCAGTTGGCAGCTCCCCCCGCAGAGAGCCGCGAGGTCCCGACGCGATCCGCGTGTAACCCCACTCCGCTGGGCCTCCCAGGAGCCCACGAAAGTGCCGACAGTTGCGCAGTTGGCAGCTCCCCCTGCAGGGAGCCGCGAGGTCCCGACGCGATCCGCCTGTAACCCCCACTCCGCTGGGCCTCCCAGGAGCCCACGAAAGTGCCGACAGTTGCGCAGTTGGCAGCTCCTCCCCGCAAGGGAGCCGCGAGTCCCGACGCGATCCGCGTGTGACCCCAACTCCGCTGGCCCCCCAGGAGCCCACGGAATTGGCCGACAGTTGCGCAGGTTGGCAGTTCCCCCCCCAGGGAGCCGCGGAGGTTCCGACGCGACCTCGCGTGGTACCCCAACTCTCGCTGGGCCTCCCCTGAGCCCACGAAGAGTGCCGACAGTTGCGCATTGACCAGCTCCCCCCGCAGGGAGCCACGAGGTCCCGACGCGATCCGCGCGTACCCCAATTCAGCTGGGCCTCCCAGGAGCCCACGAAGGTGCCGACAGTTGCGCAGTTGGCAGCTCCCCCCGCAGGGAGCCGCGATGTCCCGACGCGATCCGTGTGTACCCCAACTCCGCTGGGCCTCCCAGGAGCCCACGAAAGTGCCGACAGTTGCGCAGATCGCAGCTCCCCCCGCAGGGAGCCGCGAGGTCCCGACGCCATCCGCTGTGTACCCCACTCCGTTTGAGCCTCCCAGGAGCCCACGAAATGTGTCACGACAGTTGCGCAAATCGGTTGGCAGCTCCCCCCGCAGAGAAGCCGCGAGTCTGCCGAACGGTGTGCTTACAACTCCAATCCGTTGGGCCTCCCAGGAGCCCACGAAAAGTGCCGACAGTTGCGCAGTTGGCGGCCCTCAGAGAATGGACCGCGAGGTCCCGACGCGACTGCGTGTACCCCAACCCGCTGGGCCTCCCAGGAGCCCACGAAAGTGCCGACAGTTGCGCAGTTGGCAGCTCCCCCCGCAAGGAGCCGCGAGGTCCCGACGCGATCCGCGTGTACCCCAACCCCATTGGGCCCCCCAGGAGCCCGCGAAAGTGCCGACAGTTGCGCAGTTGGCAGCTCCCCCCGCAGGGAGCCGCGAGGTCCCGACGCGATCTGCGTGTACCCCAATTCCGCAGGGCCTCCCAGGAGCCAACGAAAGTGGCGACAGTTGACCCCCCAGGCGCCGCGGGGTCCCGAGGTGATCTGCGTGTACCCCAACCCCGCTGGGCCTCCCAGGAGCCAACGAAAGTGGCGACAGTTGCGCAGATCGCACCCCCCGAGGCGCAGCGAGGTCCCGAGGTGATCTGCGTGTACCCCAACTCCGCTGGGCCTCCCAGGAGCCCACGAAAGTGGCGACAGTTGCGCAGATCGCAACCCCCAGGCGCCGCGAGGTCCCGAGGTGATCTGTGTGTCCCCCAACTCCATTGGGCCCCCCAGGAGCCCACGAAAGTGGCGACAATTGCGCAGATCGCAGCTCCCCCCGCAGGGAGCCGCGAGGTCCCGACGCGATCCGCGCGTAACCCCACTCAGTTGGGCCTCCCAGGAGCCCACGAAAGCGCCGACGATTGCGCAGTTCGCAGCCCCCCCCCCGCAGGGAGCCGCGAGGTCCCGAGGTGATCTGCGTGTACCCCAACTCCGCTGGGCCTCCCAGGAGCCCACGAAAGTGGCGACAGTTGCGCAGGTCGCAGCTCCCCCATGCGCCGCGAGGTCCCGAGGTGATCTGCGTGTACCCCAACTCCGCTGGGCCTCCCAGGAGCCCACGAAAGTGGCGACAGTTGCGCAGATCGCACCCCCCCAGGCGCCGCGAGGTCCCGAGGTGATGGGCCTCCCAGGAGCCCACGAAAGTGGCGACAGTTGCGCAGACCGCAACCCCCCAGGCGCCGCGAGGTCCCGAGGTGATCTGCGTGTACCCCAACTCCGTTGGGCCTCCCAGGAACCCACGAAAGTGGCGACAATTGCCGCACATCGTCACCCCCCCCAGGAGCCGCGAGGTCCCGAGTGATCTCGTGTATCCAACGCAGCTGGCCTCCCAGGAGCCCCACGAAAGTGGCGACATTTGCGCAGATCGCAACCCCCCTGCGCCGCGAGGATCCCCGAGGTGAATCTGCGTGTATCCCAATTCCGCTGGGCCTCCCAGGAGCCCACGAAATGGCGACAGTTTCGCACTCGCAATTACCCCCCAGGCGCGCGAGGTCCCGAGTGATCTGCGTGTATCCCAACTCCGCTGGGCTTCCCAGGAGCCCACAAAAGTGGCGACAGCTGCGCAGATCGCAGCCCCCCAGAGGGCGCCGCGAGGTCCCGAGGTGATCCGCGTGTATCCCAACTCCGCTGGGCCTCCCAGGAGCCCACGAAAGTGGCGACAGTTGCGCAGATCGCAGCCCCCCAGAGGGCGCCGCGAGGTGCCGAGGTGATCCGCGTGTATCCCAACTCCGCTGGGCCTCCCAGGAGCCCACGAACGTGGCGACAGAGGCGCAGATCGCAGCCCCCCAGAGGGCGCCGCGAGGTCCCGAGGTGATCCGCGTGTATCCCAACTCCGCTGGGCCTCCCAGGAGCCAACGAAAGTGGCGACAGTTGCGCAGATCGCAACCCCCCCCAGGCGCCGCGAGGTCCCAAGGTGATCCGCGTGTATCCCAACTCCGCTGGGCCTCCCAGGAGCCCACGAACGTGGCGACAGTTGCGCACATCGCAGCCCCCCAGAGGGCGCCGCGAGGTCCCGAGGTGATCCGCGTGTATCCCAACTCCGCTGGGCTTCCCAGGAGCCCACAAAAGTGGCGACAGCTGCGCAGATCGCAGCCCCCCAGAGGGCGCCGCGAGGTCCCGAGGTGATCCGCGTGTATCCCAACTCCGCTGGGCCTCCCAGGAGCCCACGAAAGTGGCGACAGTTGCGCAGATCGCAGCCCCCCAGAGGGCGCCGCGAGGTGCCGAGGTGATCCGCGTGTATCCCAACTCCGCTGGGCCTCCCAGGAGCCCACGAACGTGGCGACAGAGGCGCAGATCGCAGCCCCCCAGAGGGCGCCGCGAGGTCCCGAGGTGATTCGCTGTATCCCAACTTCCGCTGGCTTCCCAGAGCCCACGAAAAGTGGCGACATTGCGCACATCGCAAGCACCCCAGGCCCGCGAGGTCCTCGAGGTGATCCTGCGTGTATCCCAACTCCGCTGGGCCTTCCCAGGAGCCCACGAAAGTGGTCCGACAGTTGCGCAGTTCCGCAGCCCCGCCAGCCCCCCGAGGTCGCCGCGAGGTCCCGACGCGATCCGCGTGTATCCCAACTCCGCTGGGCCTCCCAGGAGCCCACGAAAGTGGCGACAGTTGCGCAGATCGCAACCCCCCAGGCGCCGCGAGGTCCCGAGGTGATCCGCGTGTATCCCAACTCCGCTGGGCCTCCCAGGAGCCCACGAAAGTCCCGACAGTTGCGCAGATCGCAACCCCCCAGGCGCCGCGAGGTCCCGAGGTGATCTGCGTGTATCCCAACTCCGCTGGGCCTCCCAGGAGCCCACGAAAGTGGCGACAGTTGCGCAGATCGCAGCCCCCCAGAGGTCGCCGCGAGGTCCCGAGGTGATCCGCGTGTATCCCAACTCCGCTGGGCCTCCCAGGAACCCACGAAAGTGGCGACAGTTGCGCACATCGCAGCCCCCCAGAGGGCGCCGCGAGGAGGAGGTAGGAGGCGGGACGGAGGTGGGCGGGAGGACGGGGCGACCAGAGTGCTCTATTCAAAACGAGTACCCAACCAAGGGAGGGTTGGGAAAACATGCGTATATATAATATAATATATATATATACAACAACGGCATATCAGAGTGTGAATACCTCCCCCGCTTTCGCTTCCAGGCAAAACCAAGCCATACCACGCGCCTCCTCGTCAAGCGGCCTGACCAGTGCAGGCCGTGGTTTGGCATCCTTTGGTATCTCTTGGCAGCGAGGGTGGTCAAAAGCGAGGCAGGTCTGTGTTCCCCCCAGCATAAGCGTAAAGGCTCGGAGCTCCGCGCGGGATTCCTTCGACCAGTGCGGGGGCCCCCGCATCCGCGCGAGCCAGGCTGAGCCAGGCAGGGGGCCCCGGCGCCGACCCAGGAACACCTCGCGGAGCTCCCAGAGTGACAGTGCCGTTTTTGATGCATGCTCCGCGTGCGGATCACGTCTTAGAAATGCAGGGTTTAGTATCAAAAGCAACGATGAATTCAGGCATAAGTGCATGCAGAAATGAATCATGTCTTAAAAATCCGATATTTTTTCAATCCTGAGTATAAAAGCAGGGTTTAGTATTAAAAGCAACGATGAGTTCCTACATAAGTGCATGCAGAAATGAATCATGTCTTAAAAATCCGATATTGTTCAATCCTATGTATCAAACATTGGCCTGTAAAAAAGGTTCGGAGCTCCGCGCGGGATCCCTTCGACCGGTGCCGGGGCCCCCCGCATCCGCGCGAGCCAGGCAGGGGGCCCCGGCGCCGACCCAGGAACTCCTCGCGGAGCTCCCAGAGTTACAGTGCCGTTTTTGATGCATGCTCCGCGTGCGGATCGTGTCTTTAAAAAAGCAGGGTTTAGCATCGAAAGCAACGATGAGTTCAGGCATAAGTGCATGCAGAAATGAATCACGTCTTAAACATCCGATATTGTTCAATCCTATGTATTAAACATTGCCCTGCAAAGGTTCGGAGCTCCGCGCGGGATTCCTGCGACCGGTGCGGGGGCCCCCGCATCCGCGCGGGCCAGGCAGGGGGCCCCGGCGCCGACCCAGGAACTCCTCGCGGAGCTCCCAGAGCTATGATGTTCCAGCCTATCTTTCTGTCGGGCGTGTCCCCCTACAGGGGGATTTTTCGACGAAGAATAAAAAAAGACCCCCCAAAAATACCCCAAAAAGGTACAAACAAAAAGTCGAAAAACAGTCCCCAGATTTTTGCTTAGATTATTTTTGGGGTAATTTTCATGCTTAGTCGAAAATCCCCCTGTAGGGGGACAGGCCCGACATAAAGTTATGATGTTCCAGCCTATTTTAGCTTTGATCACCAGAAAGATGTTCGAGCTTCCGAAGAGGCACCGGAGCTCGAAGGTTTTCACGTGTCGGGCCCTGGGAGACACTCGTCCGACACTGCTTCGACACTCTTTCGACACTTTTCCGGGTGCTCGAAATCATTGCTGGGATATGGTCCTTAAGTACGAGGGGAGCAAGATAACCCCAGAGCTTCTGTGTGTGCCGGCCTCTCTCCTTCCGCGCATGAAGAACTACAAGCTGGACAAGGCGGACGCAGTGCTGTCCAGGTGCGGCCCGCACGTGTCGCGGCGCGGGGGCGTGTGGATGGTCAAGTGGCTAAACCACGTCTCCACGGTGCGCATGAAGCAGAACCGGCACCTCGAGGCGCTCGAGATGCTCTACGACCTCGAGCTGTACAGCCCCTACTCGCCCGAGGAGGCCCCGGAGTTCTTCGAGACCCTCTACCGGAACCTCGCGTGGGCCCACAAGGCCCTGGGGCAGATCGACGAGGCCGTGGTCTACTTCGAGAGGATGGCCCGGTCGTCCAAGGCCCACAAGGGCAGCATGGACTGGTTCGACTGCTGGGACATCGGCAAGCTGGCGGCGACCCGCGGGTACCGCGACAAGGACATGCCGCCTCCTCCTCCTCCTCCTCCGCCTCCTCCGCCTCCTCCGCCTCCTCCGCCTCCTCCGCCTCCTCCTCCTCCTCCTCCTCCTCCTCCTCCTCCTCCTCCTCCTGCCCCCGCCTCCTTCTCGTCCTCCTCCTCCTCCTCCTCCTCCTCCTCCTCCTCCTCCTCCTCCTCAAGGACATGCCGCAGTTCTACAAGGGCCGTGCACTGGTCGAGCGGGCGCTGGACATGCACCAGGAGGCGGAGCCCGAGGACCTGGTCATGCGGGCGAAGGTCCACGACTCGCTGGCGGAGTGCTACATCTGGGAGCCGATTCTGCCAGGGAGGCCGGCCTCGGTGCAGAACGTGTCCAACACGCCGCCGACGCTCGTGGCAAGCGGTCGGATCACTTCTGCATCGAAGCGGTTCTTTTCGGACGGGGCTGGGACGAGGATGAATCCGTTCCAGAGCGACCTGGAGCACTCTCAGAGCGTTCCGGAACGCTCTGAGAAGGCCGCGGCGCCGGAGGCATCCTCCAGGTCCGCCGGATCCTAGAGCTTCTTGATGCATCCTCACCCGATGTGATCCTCGTCCTGGCTTCGTCTTATCTCTTGGAACAGCGTTCTGGCAAACTTGACTCTCGGCGCATGGTGGTGCAAGAGTTCGGGCCAGCAGGCCGCCACTACGCGGCGGCCTACGACCTCCTGGAGCGCACCGTGGGACGCATGTCGCCGCTCTTCGGGAAGCAGGCCCCCGCGGGGCCCGAGCGAGGAGGAGGGGAGGAGAGGAGCAGGGAGGGAGGGGCTCCTCCTCCTCCGCCTCCTCCTCCTCCTCTTCTTCCTCCCCCTCTCCTCCTCATCCTCCTACTCCTCCCTCCTCCTCCTCCTCCTCCTCCTCCCCCTCCTCCTCCTCCTCCTCCTCCTCTCCTCCTCCTCCTCCTCCTCCTCCTCCTCCTCCTTCTCCACCCTCTCTTGGCCGGCCCGGCGTCGAAGGGCAGGGGCGGGCTGGTCTGCGGGGGCGGTCGGCCTGCCGCCCTCGGCGGGCTCGGCGCCCGTCGGCCGCGTCTCGGGGGCGCGGCGCGGGTGGGCGGGGTGGGGGGCGGCAGGAGGAGGAGCAGGAGGAGGAGGAGGAGGAGGAGGAGGAGGAGGAGGAGGAGGCCGAGGAGGAGCAGGCGGAGGAGGAGGAGGAGGAGGAGGAGGAGGAGGAGCAGGAGAGGAGGAGGAGGAGGAGCCGAGGAGGAGCAGGCGAGGAGGATGAGGAGGAGGAGGAGGAGGAGGAGGAGGAGGAGAGGAGGAGGGGGGGAGGGCGCCATATCCGGCATCCGATCCCTCCCACCCATCCCTTCCCGTTGGGCCGACGTGTCCTCTCTCCGCGGACGCGTGTGGTGCGCAGCCAGCCGCGAACTCCAAGGAAGACCCCCGTGTGGCATGCAGCTTGAAAAGAGGAGCTGCGTACATAGGAGGAGGAGGAGGAGGAGGAGGAGGAGGAGGAGGAGGAGGAGGAAGAGGAAAAGGAGAAGGACGGGAACAGGAACAGGAGGAGGAGGAGGAGGAGGCGGAGGAGGAGGAGAAGGAGGAGGAGGCGGAGGAGGAGGAGGATGGAAGGACGAGAACGAAGACGAACAGCAGCAGCGGCATGAACTTGAGTGGAGGGAGTGGGAGGAGCCTGTGGACCAAGGGACGGCGGAGGAGGGGAAACGAGGGGGGCGACGACGATAAACAAGACTCGGATCTAGAGAAGTGGCCCTCGCTGGGGCGGGAGCGCCATCCTGCACGGCGGGAGCACGGCGCCGATCCGAACATGAGGCCCACGCTGCAGCGAGGACATCGTGAAACAACGAAATCCATCGGCTTGCAAGCAACACATCGGGAAGCAAACAACTCGGCACAATCCTGTGTGAAACGCCGTACGCGGACGGGGGGGGCGGCGGATCTTCCGGACAGGGATAGGGGAGAGAGGGGAGTAGTATTCATATGCTGTAATTGTGGAGGAGAGGAAGGAGCAGGGTGGAGGAGCAGAATGG